GTGTTCTGCCCACTTTTCCAACCTGTCCAGGTCCACCTGCAATCTTTCCTTACCGTCCGGTGTGTTCACTTCTCCCCACAATTTAGTATCATCTAGGAACTTGGACAGAGTACACTTCACGCCCACATCACTGATGAAGACATTGAACAGTACAGGTCCAAGGACTGAGCCCTGCGGGACCCCACTGCCCACATTCTTCCAAGTCGATACCGACCCCTCCAACACCACTCTGTGTGCAACCCCCACACCAGTTTGCCACCCACCGGACTGTGTAACCATCTAAGTTGTGGGGGGCGCGAGCCAGGCTGTGGCTATAGCCCCAGGGTTCTGATCCCCTGATGTTAGTTTAGCGAGAGGGAGAGGTGGACTCGTAATGGTTGCAAAAGTACTTTCTTTTATTTAGTCCCTTTTTACATACGCTCCACTGATACAGATGTGGCTGCGCAGGCAGTTACACTTGGTTACACACAACACTCAATCCCGAACTGACGACAGACAATGTTTCTTACTTGTACACCACCGGTGTGAACGTGGCTGCAGGGCAGATTCGGTCCCAATCCAGGCAAGAGACAAAAGGAAGAAAATAACAAACTCGTTGGATCTACGTTCGGGTGAGGCTGGGGAAACGATCGAACATCCGTCCCGTTCGCTGGAACGAGTGCATGAAAAAACTCGACGGTTCTCGGGAAAACAATAAAGCGGTGGACGCCTCAAGAACCAAAAGAAAACCGATCAGCAAATTGTTCTCCGGAGACAGGAGAAGCCGTGGGAAGTTGGCCAGGCCTTCCCAGCGAGCGATGGAAGCTCCGGCTTCTCGGCTAGCTGAGCGGGTGATGGATGCTGTGCGCTGCTCTGCTGTTCTTTCTGCTCTTCCTTTTGGGTGGAGAACTCCACCCCAGCTTTATAGGCCTGATGACAAGCCTGGATTTAAGCCCTTTCGATTGGTCCACCAGGTTCCCCACAGGGGTGGGGCTTAGCACATGGCCAGAGACCATACAGCGGGGTCTCCCGAGCACACAGCCAAGGGGCCATGCAGCAGGCCAAACAGGGGCTTTCCCAGATAGAAGGAAGAGTGCTTGGAGGTACCTATTGCTGGACAGAGCTTGCAGAGCCCAGCTGGAGCGTGACATAAGTCACAGCCTCTTAATTTATTTATGAGAATGGGATGAGATACTGTATCAAAGGCCTTCCTAAAATCCAGGTAAACAACATCCACTTCTACTGCATCTAAGCGCTTTGTGACCTGGTCATAAAAAGAAACAAGATTAGTCCGGCATGATCTACCTGCTACGAATCCATTCTGGTTGCCCTGCTGCGTTATTTTTCCTGCTGGACACCCATAAATATGATCCTTAATAATTTTTCAATGACTTTTCTAAGGATTGTGGTGAGACTAACTGGCCTATAATTACTTGGATCCTCCTTCCTCCCCTTCTTGAAACTAGGGACCACGTTGGCCCTTTTCCAGTCCTCTCGGACCTAACCCAAGTGCCACAACTGCTCAAATATCCATGCCAGTGGTTCTGCTGTTGTGACACCGCCAATTCCTTCAGCTCCCTTGGATACAGCTCATCCGGGCCTGCTGATATAAACGCATCCAGTCCATCCAAGTGCCTCTGCGCCAAGGCGGTTTCAACAGTTTGTGGGCTGGTGTCCCTGTGATGTCCATCTAAAAACCCATTAAGAGACTTGTCTTGACCTTCATTCAGGAACACTGAGGCAAAAAACTCATTGAAGAGCTTAGCTTTGTACCCCCTGCCTGTCAGCAACTGCTCCTGCTTGTTCAGTAGGGGTCCTATGCTGCCCTACTCTTTCCTTTTACTCCCTACATACCTAAAAAATGACTTTTTGTCATCTTTAATTCCTGTTGCCAGCCTCAGCTCCATAGTTGCTTTGGCCTTGCAACTGCCTCCCTGCAAGTGCGGGCCAAGTAGATATATCCCTCCTTTGTAGCTTCCCGCTGCTTCCACTGTGTCTATGGCTCTATTTTTGCCCTTAGGCTTCCCTGGATTTCTCTGTTTAGCCAAGGAGGTTTTTTGGGCCCTTTGCCCCCGTTCCCTTGCAATGGGATTGTCTCCCTCTGCGCCCAAAGGATCACTTCCCTTAGGAACAACCACCTTTCCTGGACTTCCATCTTGCCAATACTCCTATCCTGCAGTGCGTCATTGACTAAACTCCTGAGCACACTAAAGTTAGACTTCCTAAAGTAAAGCACTTCCACCCTACTAGTTATCTTTCCCACCCCACACCATATGGTGAATTTGATTAATTGATGGTCGCTGTCCCCAAGGCGACCACAAATCTGCAGCTCCCCTACCGGGTCATCCCCTCTACCCAACACCAAGTCCAGTAAGGCATTGCCCCTAGTGGGACCATATACCTCCTGTGTCAAATGAAGGTCCTGTATGCAGGTTAAGAACATATGTGAATGATTGGATTTGGCTGACTGTTCCTCCCAGCAGATGTCAGGGAAGTTTAGGTCCCCCATGACATGACAACGATGTCCCTAGACTGTACAGCTTCTGAGAGCTGCCTCAAGAATTCCAAGTCTAGCTCCTCCTCTTGATGTGGCAGTGTGTAGCCATGACCAAGTCCCTTTCTCCCTGGCCTCCATGTATCCTAACCCAAAATACCTCAACTTTCTCCTCCTCTGATCCCATTTTGATTAGGGTAGATGAGAGCAATGCCCCCGTCCCCCTTCTCCCTGCTCTGCCCCATCTACGGCCTATACAATTCAAATCTATATAAACAAATATGCATGTTAATCCCCTCATATTAGATTTATAATACATGTGGGGGGTGCAGTTTCATTTCTACATTCTTATGTAGGATCTAGAATAAAGGTACACTTGTGATAATAAGTAAGTTAATCTATATCAGTGGTTCTCAACCTTTTCAGACTCAAGACGCCTATCCATAACTTGTGTATTTAGTGGCACTCCATTTAATATATAGACATATATGTTTATAAATTTATTAGAGTGTATAAAAACAAAAACAAAAAAACCCCCCCAAAAAACAAAAAACTGGAAACATATTTTTAAAACAAACTGAAAAAAACCATGAATCGCTGCTTTAGAAAGATACTATTATGTCAGCATGGAGTCTGAACACCCCAAATCTTTAATATATGTACCAGCTTTGCAAGGGTCCAGCTGGAATGGTGCAATGAAGGGCAAGGCAGTGCAGCACAACCCAGTAGCAGTTGCCACCATCTTGTCGCAAGTATAGTTTCCTTCTAGAAGAGCCTCCTGAAGTGAGGCCTCTCTCACCTGCCATTCCCAGGGAGTGAGGGGAAAAGGGGCTGGCTTCCCCTCATGGAGAACTCCTGCCTGACTCGGACCTTCACAGCCACAGCTTCAGCCAATTACTAAATAACAGAAAAAAAGCAAGCGTCTCCCCTGAATCCTAAAAAGTATCTTTCTGGTTGAGAATCACTGGTCTGTATGGAGTATTAGTTTGCATATTACTAATCGGTTTGATACAGTTTTACAGCTGTGTTTCTACTCTTCCGTATGTTTACTCTATGTTCATAAATTAATCTTTCAAAACTTGCATCTTTGAGCAAGCCAATATTCCAATCCTTGATCCTTCAGGTTTTCTGTAACTTTTTGTGATGGTCATTTCAGAGTTCTTGAACTGCTGCTTATCTGCTGCTGGTAGTTTAATTATGCAAATTATCTTGGGATGCAATTATTATGAAAGACACTGCGTGAATGCACGTGCACACACAAATTTAAGTCAGTCTTACTCTTACATAATAAACCAAAATCAGGGAGTAGAAGAGATCCTCCTTCAAGAAATCTGTTGGACTTGGAGATCAGTGAAGTATTGGTTAGTATGCTTAAAGGAATTAATTTGGGAAGGTCTTAGACTTGGATAGCATGAGTAGCTGTTTGTTAGTCCAACAATAAGATTTTTCTCTCCAATTTCATGCTTATTGTTTGATAAAATTCACTGAATATCTATTGGTGATGAATTATAAAACTGGTAAACAGGGGGATTCAATTAAATAGTCATTCTGTTTACTTATTTGTTCATAATAGTTCCTGTTAAGCCTAGCTAATAAAATGAATAGTTACAATCATATACAAACTAGAAGAAACCAAATGCAAAGCTAACATACAGAAAATCAAATTTTAACTATCAATTTTTTAATACCGCCTTCATTTTCTTTCCAAAACTAGCAATAATTGGTCAAAAAAAGAATAGCTGAAAAGAATCTAGAATAGATCTTTCAAATAGGACCATTATCAAGGATCAAGACAGGCAAAATGTTATGCCTGACGGGCCTTTTAATTGTGAATTTTTTTTATTTTAATGTCCTTAGGTTCAGCGCACCATTGCCAAACAAATTCAGATGGTGCGGCAGGTTGGGAAAGGTCGGTATGGTGAGGTCTGGATGGGTAAATGGCGAGGTGAAAAAGTGGCAGTCAAAGTATTTTTTACCACAGAAGAAGCCAGTTGGTTCAGAGAAACTGAGATTTACCAAACTGTTTTAATGCGTCATGAAAACATACTTGGTAAGTAAGAAATATGTGGATTTGAATAGGTAGTAGCGGACTTGAATGTCAAAGATTTGTAGTTGCTTAAGGAAGCAACTTCTTCCTTGATATAATCTCTGGATGGTTGTTTAGTGCATATTCATAATATACTGTAATTGGGTATAGTAGTATCTTATATATATTTTTGGTGGAAATGTGAGATTCTGATGGACCAATATGGTGAAATCTAAGGTACACAGCACTCCTAGTTCCCAGTGAGGGGTGGGTGGGACTGTCTTTTCCTAGTCTAAATGAGAGTTTTGCTTTTTGAGTTCATGAACAGTGTTTCCTATCATGTGTTTTTGTGTAACAGTACATAATGACTCTGTTTATGCATTTCATAGGTTTTATAGCAGCAGACATCAAAGGCACAGGCTCCTGGACCCAGCTTTACTTGATTACAGATTACCATGAAAATGGATCCTTGTATGACTTTCTAAAGTGCACAACACTTGACAACAGGGCTTTGCTCAAACTGGCTTATTCTGCTGCATGTGGTCTCTGCCACTTGCATACAGAAATTTTTGGAACACAAGGCAAACCAGCTATTGCACACAGGGACCTGAAAAGTAAAAATATCTTGATAAAGAAAAATGGGACCTGCTGCATTGCTGACCTAGGCCTTGCGGTCAAGTTTAACAGGTAGATGAAACTGCAGGTTATGTATGATGTTGTTGTTGAGAATCTGGGGCAGCCTTCTGCTTTGAATGCAGGCTGGATGTTGAAAGAAGGTTGTTGTCAAAATTTGTTTGTGTTTTTTAGAGAGCTCAGATTTCAAGTCACTTAAAATTCCTTCCGCTTCTTTCTGTCTCTACTGTGAGGGGATAAAAAGAAAACAAATCCAGCATCCAGACCATAAAGCTTTTCCTGGGCAGTCTTTCTAATGATATCATGGTGTTTCAGTAGCAAATCTAAGCCACTGAAAATCTGGCCAGTGTCAAATGATTTAGACGTTAAACTTACAGAAATAGTCCTGATTGTATTATTGAATGAATATGAACAGCTATTACAGCTTTTTTTTTTTTTTATCTAAAAAGCCACAGAATTTTACTTTGCCACTCTTGAGTGCCAAAAAAAATCAAAAGGCCTCATAAAAGAATATACTGTATGTATTCGTTACTGCAAAGTATTGGCCTTGAAGATAGCTTCTATTTATACTTGAGTAGACCAAAACTAATTAGTATGGTAGTACAGCATTACAAATATGTAGTGTACTCACTTTTTACAGAACTAGCGTGTTTTACAAATCCCATTTTAGATGCTCAGAATAGTAGAATCAGAATATTTATATGCAGTACTGTATATAGATTTAAAAATATATACACAGTAGGTAGTTGAGACCATGGTCTCCCAGGCTTGTAAGTGGGCATCATATGCCAACACACAAGCAAACTTCTGCCCAAAGTTATGGTGTATAGAATTGATTTTTCAATGCGACTTCATGACATGACCATTTTCAATGATTTGCGCCTATCTGCTTGGATTTGTATAGAGACATGGTAATATGTACATGTGTGTGGTGGGGGGACGGGGTTTGGTTGTCTTTGCAAAACAATAATACAAACCCTTATTCTGGTTATTTATAATTGTTTTCTATTTAGTCTGTTTCAAGGAAGCATACTGCTGTAAGACGGTGCTATTAAAAGGAAGAAACACTATAAGTACCAATTTGACAATAGCTTCTTTCTGTATCATGTGGGATATTGCATCAGTTTTTTTACTGCTCTACAACTTGTTTAACTTCTGTTATTTATACATAGTGATACAAATGAAGTTGATGTCCCTTTGAATACTAGAGTGGGAACAAAACGTTACATGGCCCCAGAAGTCCTAGATGAAAGCCTGAATAAAAATCACTTCCAGCCGTACATCATGGCTGACATCTATAGTTTTGGCTTAATCATTTGGGAAATGGCTCGGCGTTGTGTCACAGGAGGTATGTTTTTAAATCTTCTATTTCAGAATGATCTGTGTAACCAAAGTTTCAGTAGATTCACCCAATGACTGCTGTTCAAGAACTAAACCTCTACTTGGGATGAAAAATTCCTGCAGTTTTCACCTGAATTTTATAAACTTTATCATTAAAGAATCAACAGCTTTAACATTTAAAGACATGTCCACTACCCTAAGGCAGTGGTGATTAAACTTTTGGCCCTGCAGGCCAAGTGAGCATCATGGGGACAATCTGTGGGCTGAATCAGGCTCCGCATGCTGGGATTGGGTCTTGGGGTCTGGCCCCGCCACTTCCAGCCCCACACACCAGGACTAGCACAGGGCCTGGAGCTCCCCACAGGTCTAGAACTTTGGCAGTGGGGAAGCAGTGTCACAGATCCCCTGCGGTCAGATTTCTGGCCCCGTGGGCCCTGCAGGGCAGATAATAATCCTGTGCAAAACGGCTAGTATTCGCTTTGGATTCATTCGATTTGGAGGACAGTGATTTGATTTGGTGATCCGTATCACTGTCCTGAATTGATACGGCCGAATCTGAATCAAACAGGCCCGATCTCCTGCCTGCTCTCCCAGCCTTGTCAATGGCTGCCCCAGCATCCCAGCTCTTAAAAAAAAAAAAAAAAGCTCCATACTCACTACCTGCTGCCAGGCAGCGGGGTGATCCCTGCTGCCCCACACTGCCCTATGCTGCTTGTGGGGCTCTGCCACAAGTCCCCATTCTCCGCCCGCTCTCCCACCCCGCCATGCCTGCCCCGCTCAGCCCCAGCTCCTGGTTCTCTTAAAACAAACAAACAAACAAACAAAAAAAACCACACTCACTGGTTCCTGCCAGGTTTGGTGGGGGGGAATCCCCACTACCCCCCACTGCCCCATGCTTTGTGGGGGGCTCTGCCACAAGCCCCAGAAGCCCTCAGGCTGCTGCAGCAGCTGGTGAGTTCAGGGCTTTTTGTTTGTTTGTTTGTTTGTTTTTTTTAAAGAACCGGGAGCCAGAGCCAGGCAGGGCAGCCATTGACATGGCTCAGAGAGTGGTCGGGGGTGCTCAGGGGGTCTGAGGGAGCAGACAAGGCATGGTGGAGGTAGGGGTCTTCCCCCCTCCTGTAGCTTTTCCCCTCCCCCCTTCTGCCCCCTACTTACCGGCATGGAGTCTGGGTCTAGCTCCCTGCGGCAGTGATGAGTGTGGTCTGTCTGAATCTCCAAAGTGCTCCAAATCTTTTCTGAATTGATTCAGAGAGCTTCGAATCGATTTGGACCTTTTTATTGGTCTCCTGATTTGATTCAGAGATTCGGCCACCAAATTGGACCAAATCTCCTCCGAATCAAATCAGCAGCCAGAGCTTCACACAACCCTAGCAGATAACAGCGCTGAGGCCAGATCTGGCCTGTGGTGAGCACCTCTGCCTGAAGGTATATGTAAACACTAATACCTGCCTTTCATCAGCTGTAGTACTTTTACACAGGTCAGTGTCCACAGTCTTGTGTTCTCTTTTTCTCTTCCCTTTGGTCTCTCACAGCTCTTTTGTGTTTTATAATCAGTGTCAAACTTCTATGGTTCTTTGTCTCTGTTGTACCTGCTTTAGGATTCAAGACTCTGCATAATACAAGGCTCACTATCTTCTACCCACCTCTGCTTTTAGATTTTGAATTCATTCCAAATTTGTTCTCAACTGTTAGCTCAGAAGTTGCCATCTCCTTTAGTAATTAAAAAGGCATCTCAAAATTTCTGCTTTGAAGGTGAGAAGGTTCTTTTTCAGCAAATTCCAGGAACTTCCACCTGAATTTTCAAACAATGCACCAGTTGTCTGAATTGTTTACTTGCAACATTATGAGTTACCTGTCTTCTTAACAGGTTTTTTAAGTATAAATAAGGGCCTCTTGCCCCTTTTAAACCACCTTTAGTTGTTTCACTCAATTTTCTTTCTCCTTTCCTATAATGAATGCATATACGACCCTTTTCTTCATTGTTTTTAGAACCTATTTTCCCTTTTTCTCTGCTCTGGTGCCACCTTAGTATATTTATTTTCCTTTTGTTTCCACTTCTCCCAGGTTCTCAGTCTTTTTCTCTTCAGAAATTTATAACATCCTAATTTAGATTTCAGTCTTCTTCAGGACGACAGTTCTTTCCTTTGTTTTCTGAAGTATGCTAGCTGGCTGTGGTAAAACAGATGGAAATGAGAGGATTCATGGGAATTGCAGAAACAATTGGATTTGCATGTAAAATTCTCTTGGTGCAGGGAAAGTTATATGTATAACAGACTGGATAGAGATGAATTCTGCACTACACATTTAGTTCAGAGGGAGTACAGGTAATAAATTCAGATTCTAGTCCTTAATGCCCATTGTCAACTGTAAATTTTCAGCAAATGTTACCTTGAGTTTTTTGGTTTCTGTTTGATCAGTCCAAGAACCAGAGGTTACTGTGTTTAATTTGTTCTTCTGCTGTTGGTTAAGGAATTTTGTTAGTAGCAGATTTCTGGATTTGGTTTGTTCTTTCATGTGTTTCCCTCATCTTTTGTACTTATTGCAGGTATTGTTGAAGAGTACCAGCTGCCATATTATGACATGGTGCCGAATGATCCATCCTATGAGGATATGAGAGAGGTGGTGTGTGTCAAGCGACTACGCCCAATAGTATCTAATAGGTGGAATAGTGATGAAGTAAGTATGCTGAAATGAAAAATGGGAAGGAGAAATTTATCAGTAGCCCATAACTTTTTCAGTCTGTCCTCAAAGCTCGTTCACACTGAAGTAGTATAGGCAACACAGTCCTGTCTTTTGACATTTGAGATTTCTCAGGGCACAATAAAAAGGCTAATGTTTGAAATCAGCTGTAAATTTTCTACACATCTGTAACCTCTGGGAGAGAAGGAAAAGCAACATTTCAGGATCCATACACATATGCTTTACTGCAGAGTAGACTAATTAGCTCCTCAGTAGAGCATCACTGTCTACACATGCACCAGTATTAGGGCACAGTAAATTAACACCACTGTAATTAATTAATAGTCAGTGACTCTTTAACACCATTGTAATTAATTAATAGTCACAATTACTCTTATGGTAGAGTAATTTAATGCACTGAAGAGCATGTGTAGAAAGACTGGGCGTAAATTGTGCCCGGTCAGCCCAGCCAGCCGAGACACATGAGCTCAAATTGCTGCTATTCCAGGCACACGTGTAGACGCTGCACCTGAGAGCGGTTTCCTTTGGCTCAGACAGCTTCAGTGTTTATTGTGTCACATTCATTGCACATGTAAATTCACCCAGTCTCACTATTGGCCTCTCTAAACTAGATCTCACACTTATATACCAGAATATTTTCTTGTGTTTTGAATAAAGCTGTACAGCACATGTCACTTTAATTTATCAGAATCAGTTTCAGTACTTCTGGCATGTCATCCTGTCAAACTGGGTGCATTATGGAATGAGAACTGCTGCTGGGAGAAGTAGATGGGTTTGAATAGATCTCACAAGCAGGGTTAGCAGATATTTTCTATACAAAAGGGAGGATCTTTCTTTTGAGTGCCATTCTTTTTCCTTTTTTCTTCTTGCCCATCACAAAATGTTTTCTCCTCAGCACTCCCCCTGATGAGACGCACTGAATTTACCAGTCTTCCCTAGCATGGTACTTTATTATTTGGCATCTTGATGTCAGCCTGACTCACTGAATATTGATAATCCTTCTCTGCTCTTAAATTCAGGCAGTGCATTGAAAAGAACCTTGAGTCCATTCAGTGTTGGAAATGCAAATTGTATTTTTTTCACCAGGGGAGTGGTTGTTAAAAGATATTGTCCTTGCATTGCTAGACTTTTGGCCTGCTAGCTTAACCATTGCCTTCCTTAAATGCATACCATTAATGAACTGTCAGTCAAGGCTATGCTTTACTGTGGATTAAGTGTTTATAACAATGTTCCTTTGCACTTTTAATTTTCAGTGTTTAAGAGCGATACTGAAGTTAATGTCTGAATGCTGGGCCCACAATCCTGCTTCTAGACTTACAGCCCTGAGGATCAAGAAGACGCTTGCAAAGATGGTGGAATCACAAGATGTAAAGATTTGACAGAGTAACACAGTTACTCAGGAGCAGAGTTGGACTCCTAGAACTCTTCACCCAAACAAGGGTGGGATCGAAGTGGGAAGAGGAGTCAGCTGAGATTCAGTCCATTTCCTCACCGCACTTTTACAGGCTGCTAATTACATCTTTCAGAACTTTGAAGATGATGATGTTGAGAGCCTCTGTATGCCACGTGCTATGTATTTGGACAGCCCTGTTTTAAGTATGCATTTTGTTCTTGTTTTGAGCTGCATTGAGACTTCAGTCACAGTGAATTTCCAGTAAAACTCTGGGTACTGAATTGCATGTTCAGATTTCAGTGCTTTCTGTGAAAGCCTTAAGAAGCTAAATGGATTCAACAGAGATGGAGAAATATAAGCTTTTTGCCTTCTACCTGATGGAATCTAGTCAATTCATATGAAGTTTTAATTCAATAGCATGTAGGTTATGAATCTATTTGGGATACTATTCAATTTAACAGTTCCTTATGCCTTTTCTTGTTTGTGTGTGCCAGGATTCTTCTGCTGCCATTTGGAATACATAGGAAACCATTTAAATTTACAGGAAGGGCTGTATAATATTCCATGATTCCACAATTGCAGAATTTGCCACTTAGTTCATCCCTTGCCATTGAAATGTACTCAAGTGCTTCAGTTTTCAGTTTAATATAACTAAAATGTATTTCTTTTTTTGGTTGCAAAGGGAACCTGAAAAATGTGAATTGAATATAAAGCAGTGCCCACCTGAATATGCAAATAGTCTGAAACAACACCAGTTACAGCACAGGTAACTTTGCTTTAGTCATCTCACTTGAGGCTCAGTAGGCTCCATGACTAAATGACTGTGGAATTTGGCATTTTTTCACAATACTACATATGTCAGCATTTTAGTGTGGCAGTCTCCACAGCCAGCCCACTGACAATTCTGTTTTGCCTCCCTAACCTGCTGGGACGTGTCCATAGCTGCTGCATACTCTGTACTTTTCCCCATAAAGGGCAAGTGAATTGTATTTCAATTCATACTCCCTAACTGTTATAAAGAACCAGGCAGAAGGGAAGTTCTGAGGGTTAGAACCAAATCAGATGAGCAGCAAGGAGAGAAAGGTAGCCAGACATACAAGTTGGGCAGCCAGGGCATCTGGAGGCTAGAGTGGCACTCAAGCATGGAGAGCAAGATGATGAACTGCTGAAACTGATCAGTGTGGGTAGGTCAAAGAAAGGCAATCCTGAGCTGGATTGTCCGGCTGTAACTACTAGCAAGATGATGAACTGCTGTTCATACAGCTGGGTTGCCTAGAGAACACACAGGGAAAAAACAATAGACATGAAGCAGTTGTAAAATAATGAGTATTTTAAATATGAGTTCTCATTATGTGTGGGAGGTGCAGCTGGGAAAGACTCAGTGGAGACAGGTTAAATTAATAATGCTGCAGAATTTGGCCTCACTTTGCTATGGAATGCACGTGGCTCTGCTTATGATTCTCCAATAAAGTGATAGCTGATCACACCTGGTCAGACGAAAGCTGCTTCGTTCATACAAAATCAGTCGTGTTTCCCTCTTTTCACTATTGTTCAGACAAGCTGGAGCACGAGGCCAAAAAAGAAAAAAGCGGCTGTAAAACTAGGTCACTGGTTATATACCATTAAATTCATTACTGCTAGTTTGCAGTCAGAAAGTACCACCACAGGTTGACAGCTCCCATACCGTGAATCTTCTGAAGAATGAGCACACAGTATTGAAACAGACCTATTTGATGATAACTTAAGTGCCTGTAAGATGTACTGTAAGCCTTGTACTAGATAACTTTAAAAAGGGAAGTTATTTATATAGTGTGAATTGTGCTTTATTTAAAACAAAGTTTTAGGTACACGTAAACAAGCATGCACATACATACACATACACACACACACACACAGATTTGAAGGAAAAGTTGAGAATAAAGTTTAAATTGATCAAAAGAAATTTCAGATTAAGATTTTTTACTTTGGTAAAATACATATATGGAGGTCGTTTTAAAGATCTGTTTAAATTTCCCTTGGAAATACAGCTAATAGAAAACTTAGCTTAATGCAGAACCAATGTGATTTGTTAACAATTGCAAATAAACTTCTAACATGGTTTCTTTTTCACTTTGTTCCATAGTTTGCAAAAAGTAAATTGTCAGGCAAAAGATTGCAGTATTTTTTATTTTCTATTGTGATGTACAGACTTTATTTAACAGTGCTACATATTTTATAGAAAGCTAGTTAGTTATCTCAAGGGACATTTATTTTTTAAAATAAAGTCATTACTTTTCTTCAGTAATGCCTTTAAGTATTAATATGTATTCTGGCTGAACAATTCATGGGTGCATCAAGTATGATTTAACTTATTTAGACACAGCAAGTGAGACAACATCGTGCCACAATTCTCATGACAAAGGGCTTTTTAAATAAGGTTTTTTCCGTCCGCTGCCAAAGCATATATCATGAGACTAATTATTAAGCATGTCTTTGCGCATAAATTTTGCACAGGTAGTTGGAAAATACTTGGCATGAGCCAAGATGTCATTAGTAAGGAATAAGCTTGTTTTGATTTGTTTTTTTATTAGTAGTATCATTCTAGGGTTTTTAACAGTAAAAAGGAAAATCTTTATACACATCCCACTAGCTTATTTTCTCACAATAATGGAGGTGTTTTCTTAATTTAATCTATTTCTCAGAACGTTTGTATTTTTTCTCATAAAGTGCCATGTGAATTGGACAGCTGTATTAGCTGTGACTTGTGCTAAAATTTTAATCTTGATTTTGTTTTCTTTCTCAAATCTTCAAGACTGTTGGCAGTAGGCTGAATAAAACAAAGGGCATGTAAAAATGTGACACCATTTTCAGTTATTCCATGGTTTTCCCTTCTATTTAGCGCTTACTAGTTTGTAAGACAAAAAGTTGGTGTTACTGGATAAATAAACCTTAAAACTTAAGAATTTACAAATTCACTTTTAAATAAAGGAAATGGGCTGAGCTGGGTTGTGGAGAGAGAGGACCCTTAGCCAAGATTACCTTAAAATATATATGTATATATGTATGCCTAAGGTTAGGTTCCAAAGTCTGTGTTTACACCCCCAATAACCAACCAGCCTGATGCTGAACATTGCTGAGCATGCAGCAACTTCTATTGGCTTACATGGGAGCTGCTAGTTGTATACTACATCTGAATATCTGTTGGCTCCGGTTCTGTTTGAGCCCTGAAGCCCACAAGTAGGTTCCATGCAAAGAACTTAATAATTTTAGGCACCTGGGTTTTTGGGGGTTTTTTAATTTAATCTTCATGAACTTATAAATAATAAATATTGCTAAGTATACTCAGTGCAGACTTTTAAACCAAGTTGTTGCCTTATTCAATGTTGTAAGAATTCCAAAGACTTAAATCCATAAACACACTGTTATTTTAGTGTGTGATCATAATATTTTGTTGGTGAGGCTTACATTTGTGAGCATTTGTTATCTAATAAAAAATCTTTGCAAATGTCTTGTAATGCGTGAAACGTCCTGTGAATATCTATTCTGTGCCTTGAAAGCCATTGAACAACTTCATATGGAGATCCGTTTAGCTTGTTCCATGTTAGATGAAAAATAGCTTGAAGCTTTAATAATAAGTCTGGCCACTATATTCGGGGGAGGGAAATAGCATTTGCACTTCTGGTTAACCTGTAAATCCCTGAAGCAATGAGCAGACCCAAAGTGTAAATGCAAGCACACATTGATTGTACTGGGTTTACTTTGATTTTTTTTTCCTTTTAAAAAAACAGTACCCTGCACACACAATTTAAGTTAAGTAACATGCAACTCCCTTCAGCTTCTAAGCAGCTTTCAAGGTAAAAGTTAAAAAAAAGTAGAGACTTTGCTCATTTCCCAAGATTCTTAATGTTCCAGAATAATCCTAGAATCAAATTTTAGATCTGCATCTAAATGACCATTTGAATGTGCTATGCGGCAAATTCTTAAGATACAACTTTGCTGTCTTGCCTTTACACACTCTTATTTTAAAGTTAATTTAAAAGACAAAACATGTCAAGAAAAAAATATCACTTCAAATTAAACTTTACAGCCTTTTTTGGTTACTGTAATAATGTTTAAAGGGAATTATTTATCTTTGATTTTGGTCAGGTAGATGATTTTTTAGCAGTCTTCTGTTCTTGTGACTGGTTCTGAAAGAAGTCAGATAACCCAACCCTGCTCCCCACTCTAAACCCTATGTCGGGGTGAAATTTAAAATGAAATACAGTGCTAAGTGATACAGAGCTTTCTAGAGTCAAGGTGTATCAGCCTCAGTTTACTAGTTATAACAAAGGTAGAATGAACACTATTTTTACTTAAATTGTTCAATAAAATGCTTGCAACTGTTGCCTTGTCCTACATTACCTTTAAATGCAGTTATAGAATCCCCATAAAGTGGTGACATTTATGCTCCAATATACCCATGCTCAACATGAAATGTACTATATTGTATACAAAAAAGAATAACATTGTAGTTAACCTAGAGAAGATGTAAATAAAACATGAAAGGGTAAAAACAAGCAGAATGCTGGCACTTGTGTTTATGTCAGAAGTGTAGAATAATCTTTTAAAATGTAACACGCTAATGTATTTTGTACAGCATCTGATTTAAAAGGTGCCTTATTCAGTTTACCATGAATTGCTTTGTTCTGTACACAGAGTATGTCCAATGTATCATTTTTAAGTAAATAACCTTATTTTAGTACACATTAGTAATGTGTTTTGTATTACTATCAGATTTTGTCATATAAATGCATGATTCCTTAGAAATTATAATACCTAACCAAATACTTCCTTACTTCAGTATTTTTGTACTTGTATTTGGTTAACTATGCAAAATTCTTGTGTAAGTTAATATTGGTAATGAATTGTTTTAATGTTTCTTAGTGATGCTACAAGTCATTTGGTCTACTGTACCCAATATGACACCTTATCACCATAATGCTGGGGATAGAAGTAAAATGACCAGGCTTTCTTGCACCCTTCTCTTTCCCCCTTACTTGGGAGGAAGGCAAAAGGCCAGCTTTGAATAAATTAAAATTTGATGCCTAGGTAAGTCTACCATGTCTCGATTTAGTATACCATAGGGTTTGCTGTACTGAATTAAGCCTGCCCATTTTCCAGTGACTATGAATGCAAACAGGGCACAATATACCTAAACAGAAGTACAGTGCTGGTCAGAATACTACCCTACTTTCTTTGATGTCTAGCTAATTTCCTTATACTTTGACATAAGTAGAATGACATACTAGTAGAAGAGGATTTCTTATGTTAGACTATGAATTAGCATGTTTACATCAGTGAGTGGCATTCTCTATAATTGTCTCATTACCTCACACAGGAAAAGTAAGGTACGGTTATGCACTGATATCTGTGTTACAGAGAGATCTTTTATGTATACATTGGTTATAAGGGTAAAGGTTTGTGTGATATCTGAACTTCATACAAACTGTGGTACTGAAAATAGAAGTGGTAAATTCATTATCAAGTGTATAACAGTAAACTCTTGCTCTAAGAGCATCAGAGAGATATGTGAGACGCAAGAATTCTTATAGGTAATATAGTTTATTAGACCAACTGCATCATTGGGCTAGACATAGGCAAGCTTTTGGGTATCACAGTACCCTCTCTCAGAATCTGAATGGTTCAATCAATAAAATCCGAACTTGGTTGAAATCGGTGTCAAAGCTCTTGTCTGACTTTGAGATAAGGCTTTTACTCCATACCTTCACTTAATTTCTCTTCCTCCAGTTACCAAGTAACTCTTCATCATTGAAGACAACCTAATACATCTGGACAACTGTGGTATGTACCTGCAAAGCAAAGGATTCATTATGGCGAGTTTCAGTATGGTGTTACGTGGAATCTATAGGGTTTGTTAATAATTCTGTAGCTTAATGTCCACAACTACAGCAACTGAAGTTAATCGCTAAAATAGTTTTCTGTGGCTGCTGGTAGATGTTAATTTAGTCATGTGATTGGAATGTGATGAAATTTATGCTAGATTCCCAAGATCACTTATCCTGCCATGCCATGTGTACATGGCAAGGTGCTTGATTTTTGGGAGCCTGCATAAAATTACATCTCAATCATGCAACTGCCAGGATTTTTAAGTTCTGGGACAGCAGGAACCTGGTATCTGGGAGAGGCTCTTCAGGGCTGTTCTGCCAGCACTCCAGGACCTTTAAAAACTATGCAGACAGCCCAGTTGCACTCGCCACCCTTTGGACATGCCAGTCTGCCACATGTTCAAATTACAGTGTTATACAAACCAGGTATAAAGATGCTCCACATTGCTAAATATGGTTTGCAGTGAAATGTATCATTCACATTTAAATGATGTGGAACATTTGTGTGGCTGGTTTGGTACTTTATGACGTCATAAATGTCCTGCATGTTGCTATTTGCTGTGTGATAAAGTATTAATTGCATGATTAATATAATGCCTGTCAGGGCAAATTTAAAAAATCTGATCTGCCTAAAATCAAAATGTTTCACAGAAATGTATCTGCTTCATTGCAAAGGTTGACAAAAGCCCCAGTCTTGCAGCTACTCAATAGTGTACTTAACTCAAAGCCTGGGCTGTGCCCTATTGGATTGCATCTGCTTAAATACTGTGCTGGATTGGGATAACTGACAGTTGTTAGAACTACAGTCTGGGTCAGCAGTGGCGTGCAGAGACTGAACAGACACTGAAGATGGTTCCTGCTTCTTATTTCCAACTGATAAACTGCATCAAAAGTAGCTAAAGCTGTATAGTTCCCTAATGCAACTTTCCCCTGGGAGCCTTTGCTGGTGCTACTGCAGAGAGGTTACTTGGTGGTAGTGTGCAAGGCAATAGTTGGGTGTGGTCCTCACCCTGAAAGCTTTCTGCATGCTTGAACTGAGACATTCCAAACCCAAAGCATTAGGTCATCATGCAGAAGGAACTTAATAGCCCATTGTTCTTCTTAAGCAACTAATCAAAAGCCAAACACTTCTAGAAATAAGCTTGAAGGTGAATCTAGGATAATGCTAGGTTTGAATATACAGTACAACTGACATACAAAAAAAAATCACCACCCAGGCAAGAGCTGATTGCTCCCTGATTTTGTAGCATCTCTTTTGATTAAAGCATGCCACCACTCTTCATGTTTTAAATATAAGAAAGCCACCCATAGTGGCTCCAGGTAAGCTCTTTTCCACTAGAGAGCCCTGCTGCAACTCAAACCACACTCTCTCCCCTTTCTTCAGCTCTGCCACGGCAAAAGTAGTCATGAAGTTTCCATTTGTCATTTTCTTCTGACTTCTTGACAGGGTCCTCCTGTGCCCACTGCTAAACAGCAGCTCTCCAAGTGCAGGTCCTGGGCTAAATTCCACATCAACAGCAAACATGTAGACACCATTATGAGGTGCTTTGAAGTAGCCATATTCAGGGAAATAGCAGTTTCCATAATTGAGGTATGTTTCATTAAACCTCAGCGTTTTTCCCTCATCTCTTCCTTCTGAGAATCCCACATAGAAAGCCACTGATGAATCTGAAACAAAGTGGGAGAGGAACATTTAACACTCAGCAACTATTCTGCATTAGACTGGGAGTTGGGAGCTCTGACTATGCAGTGCAATGCTGGACAAGTTACTTTAAGGCTGCTTCACACTTTTCCTGTTATGTCTGTTTAGTCTACGCTCTCAGTGGTGCAGGTCCTGCCTCTTATTGAGCTTACATAGTACCAGTAATGATAGGTCTCAAGCTTTGTTGAGGCATCTAGGCACTACACTCATAAAAACAACTAGCTGTGTTATCATCAGTCAACCATCTACATGTGCTGTATTGCACAGTAAGTAAACAAAAGTAAATCTGCTATTTGTATTTACAAGTAGCAAATTTACTCGCAATTAAAGCCAATACTGCACAGTAAGCATCTGCATCTGTAGACAGTGATGCCTACTGTGCAGTAATTATTTCTAAGCTCAAATAAAGCATTTTGCATAGTCATGCCCTAAATGTACAATACATAAGGAAAAGCCAAATGGAAGCTGCCAACACATCTAGTGACTATTTATTTAGACCTCAATGCTGCTGAAATGTAACAGAAATTTTCTTACGTTAAATACTTGGTATTTAAAGAAGAATTGTCTATTTGTTTACTTGCATAAACTGGGTATGTGCTGTTTACAAAAGACATTTTCTCCATTTTGTGGTTTTTTGGGGAAATGGGGATTAAACTGATATTCTTGAAGTTATGAGCAGGGATCCTTGTTTTCTCTGTTTAAAAATCATAACTTCTCTGATAAAAATTTCAAATTCTCTGATTAAAAAACCCAAAAATCCACAATTAAAATGAAACATACAAATGTATATCAATTGAACGCAATGTTTTATTGATATATTTACCTTTTTAAAGTAATTTGAAAGCTTTAAAGCTTCAATCAGTATAATTAAATACATTTTAAGTAGCTATAAATGTTGGTATTTTATTTTGCGTTTTTTATCATGGAAAATCAGATCTCTCCCTGACCCCTTCGCTCATGAGGATGCAGGTCCAGGCCCCTCAGTCCCAAGCCACAGCACCCCAGCCCTGCTGGTGTCCTGTACTCCCCACCCACAGCCCCTCCACCCCTGCCAGTGTCCCTCATTTCCCACCCATAGCCCTTCCCCCCTCTCCCCTGCCAATGCTCCTCACTCGCCACCCATAGCCCCACAGCCTTGCCAGAGTGGGGCCCCCAGCTGCCAGGGCTATGGGGCCAGGGACCTGGGCCTGAAGCCTGTCCCCCCATATCCCCACGGCAGTGCTTGAGCCCCAGT